GTCAGGGCTGGACCTAAACGGTGTTTTGGCCATCTTGTGGGCCGCTTTGTTTCTCGTTCTGTTTGGCGTTCAGGGCGAGGCGAAGGCAAGACGAGGAAGAATGAAGAACTCAGCGAAAGCAAACAACACCTTTTAGGTTCAGCCCTGCTGCAGGTCACCTTGGGTCTTCCCTTCCTCCTGGCCTCCCCTCCCCCCTGCGCAGTCGAGCGGGACGACCCAGGGGACTCGCGGGGGCGCGAAGCTAGCCGCGCTCCGCAAGCTGGCCGCGCTCCGCGCTCTGCAGCACCAGGGTGCCTGTGCTGCCTTCGAGGTCCCCTTCCAGCTGCCCTCCCTCCTCCCTCCCTCCTCCCTCCCTCCTCCATCCTCCCTTCTCTCTCCTACCTCCTCCCTCCCCTCTCTCACCGCTGCGCAGCTGATGAGGGATCGGGAATTGGCAGCGAGCGAGGGGGGGAAGTGGGAAGGAGAAGGCCTTCCCAGAAGGCGGCGGGACTTCTCAGGAGCCCTCGCGCCTTCTGAGAAGTTTTCTCTGTCTCCGGGGGAGAGGCTTAGAAAGCTTTTCAGAAATCTCGGACATTGCAGCAGATACATTACCAGTGGCGGGTTGTTTTTCGATCCCCGGACTTTTTGAGGGTCGGGGACGACGTCGGGGTAGTGTGGTGTATACTTTTTGTCCCACCGTTTTCCCGTGGAAACGACGAAACATGTATACACCAGGCTCCCGTCTACACCAGGATCAGCTTTCTTGTGCGAGTTTCAGTGCGGGGCTGGAAAATGCGTCTGTGTATAGAGTTCGGCTCGTGAAAATCCCCTTCCTCCTGCCCTCTCTCCCCGCTGCGCAGCTGATGAGGGATCGGGAAGGTGTCGATACCGCTGCTCCCCGGACCTCTCCGATGGCGTATTCTGACCAGGACTTCTCGAGGGGAACGCAGCCGTGGCGACCAGACCCCACGGGGAGGCAAGGAAGGGCGAAAACGAGGGAGGGGCATCGGTACCGGTGTCCGAGGAGGGAGGGCGAAAACAAGGAAGGGCGAACGCGAGGGAGGGCGAAAGCGAGGGAAGGGCGAGAACGAGGGAGGGGCAAGGAAGGGCGAAAACGAAGGAGGGGCGAAAACGAGGCAGGGCGAGAACGAGGCGAGGAAGGGCGAAAACCGAGGGATGGTGTGCATGGGGGGGTTGGATCGCGTGGTGGGACGTGATGCGGCGTGGGGGCGGGCTGGTTTTCGTGAGGAGGTCGGAGTGGCCGTTGCCGGACGGGGCCAGGACGAGGATAAAAATCCGTTCCAGAGAGCGCTCCGGAAAGCTCTCAGAGCGTCTGGGAACGCTCCGAGAAGGCCGCGGCGCCCAAGATATCCTCCAGAGCCGCCAGATTTCAGAGATTCCCGATTCGTCCTCACCCGATTTTATCATCGTCCTGGCTTCGTCTTACTCGGCGGCGAGCGGGGGGGGAAGTGAGCAGGGGCGGGCCTTCTCAGAAGGTTCGGAAGTCCCCCCAGGCTTCTGAGAAGTTTCCCCAGCCTTCCCCGGGGACACGAACAGAGCCTCTCAGAAGGCACGAGGGCTCCTGAGAAGCCCCGCCGCCTTCTGAGAGGGCCTTTTTCCTTCTCACTCCCCCCCCTCGCTCGCCGCAGGACTCCCGTGACTCCCACGCATGTCCCAGGCTTCCTCGATCCTGGATCTTCCCTCCCCCTGTTTGAATACGTGGGCTCCTCCGAGCCCGTCACGTCGTCGTCGAACCTTTTGTTCAGGACACGGAGCACCTGATGCTCCGGAACATGTGCTGCGGCCAGCCGCCGCTGCGAAGGGCGCAACTCGCCCTGTTGTCTAAAATCCCGCCCTCCCGCAACCGAGCCTCAAATGCTGCGAGGAGGGCAACATGCTGGGCCGAACCCCTCACGCGATCTCCATCGCAATCAAACAGGGGGAAAAGAGATCAGCTCCAGCATGTCCGTCTATGCACCTCCGGGTGCCGTCTGCTTGGTCACGTGGTGGTCCCGCTTCCGGCTCTCGAGGATCTCCTTAGCCCGGGAGTGGTCCAGCTCATTCGTCTCGTCAAAAATCCCTTTCCCGAGCGCCGACCACTTCCGAGCAGAAAGGAATCGCTCATCATGAACAATCTTCCACCGTTGGTGCTTCAAGAAGGCATGAAGCACCTTGAACGCCTGGAGGCTGGCCTTGGTCATACCATCGGCTAGCTGCGCATGGCTGTGCACCCAGCGAACTGAAGTCCCTCCTTCCTCGAGAGCACGTCGAAGAGCCATGGCTTCGATAGCCGTTTTTCTCTCGTTCAGTCCGAGCCCGGCCGACTCTGATTTTACGACACCGTCGTAGAAGGCCTTGCAGTCCGTCACGAGGGTAGCAGGTACCTCTTGCAGGGCCCGTTGGCGGTTGTGGAGGTCGAAAGATCCGAAGAGCACCTCATACAGGAGCAGTCTCACCATCATTTGCTCGCCCTCGGCGTCGCTGGCCTCCTGGATCTCGGCTGCAAGGCTGGAACGGGCGACCCTCTTCAGCTTGCGTGACCCCCAGTCCAGCACAGCAAAGTTGGTCACGTCGTGGAATGGTGTCTCGGCTGAGCTCAGAGCTGTCACGTGTCCGCCTTGCGAATGACCATCCGGTCGGCTCGCCCAGGCAGCGTCGCACCAGGTGTACACGCGGAAATCTGGAGGTCCGTTCTGACAGCCGGGTAGGGCGTGACGAAAGATCATCATCCCGTCGTTCTGGTTGGCCTTAACCATCTTGGTGATGTTGTTCGCAACGTTGAAGAGCTTGTAGCCGCCGTCTGGAATCTTGCTTTGCACATCAGCGACCCAGGCAGACATCCAGGGTAGAGTGTTCACTCCAAGCCATGACAGAGCTCCGCACCACGTCCGAAGAGTACTCTGGTCAGCCTCGGTCAGCTTGTCATTGGAGCGCGCCTTGGGGTTATCTCCTGAAGCTTATCGATGTAGGCCCGTTGATGCTGGAAGAACCCCTTCTCGTTGGACTCTATCGTGACGCCGCACTGCTCAATGGAGTTGAGTCCGTCCTCCATGTCCTCCCAGGTGCCCCACGTGTAGAGCTCCTTGATGCCCTTCATGGCAGCCTTCCAGGATGGATGTCCTCGATCACCGCAGAGAATGAAGTCGTCCACGTGGCACATAACCAACCCGATGAGCTCCTTCGTCGAAGGGCATCGCAGACACCAGAGGCACGGTTCGAGGTCGCAGGTTTGTAGTCCCAGCTTGGCAAAATACGACTTGACCGTGAGCCACCACTTCCTGGGAGCCTCTCCGATGCTGTAGCCTGACTTCATGACCCGAAGTACTTCACCAGGTTGAATGCCGAAGGCGGAGGAAAGGGCCTCGTCGGCCTCAACGAACAGGTCTTTTTGGAGGTCAGAGGCCTGGAGGAAGGCGCTGGTCACGTCGCCCTTGACGATGTTCCAGTGGTTCGCGGCCGCGATCGCGAGGATAATGTTCCTGGCACGTCGGGACGCCGTCGGTGAAGCAGTCGGCTCCTTTCCGATGTCCTTGGTCTGGTAACAGAGGAGGACGGGACGGGCCTTCGCGGTTCCGTTGGCCTTCCGTGTCAGCACCCAGCGGCACCTGATCACATCCGCAGGATCTTCTACCTCCGAGGCGGGCACCGGTTGTAGTCCCTTGTACTGCTTCCAGTTAGCCACCTCCATCATGCCAGCTCGAAGCTTGATCTTCTCTGAGGGTGATAACGTACCCCAGTGGAACTCATTCTTGTCCTTGCGATTCTGGTCGGCTATGAATCAGTCCAACATCGGGGAGGAGTGACTGCGGTCCCCTTGACTGTCCGTGAGCTCGGACTTCAGCATCTCGAAGTAGATCGTCATGTTATCGTCAAGTAACTCGAAGTCGGTGAGCCCAGACTCCCCGAGCGTGTTCACATCTGCGAAGAGATCATCTTCGCTGCTCGCCTGATCTGCACTGTCCCGGCCTTTCGTGTCGGAGTAGGGTTTTGGTCGGTTGGCACGACGTTCAGCGGGTGACTGACGGCAGGTGTCCTCGCTCTCCTTGGAGTACATTCGCAATCGGCGACCAGGGGGACCCTCTTCAGGTGTTGGTATTGGTTCCTCAGGCGAAGAGAGTCGAGGAAGCTTGGACGCGGGCTGTTCGATGGTCGAGATGCTAGAGGGCGTCGGAGGGGCGGAGGGCTCGCCTGCGGGCTCCTGAGATCCTGGAGCGTCCGTTTCCAGTCCCGGTGCCTCATCCTCCATCGGATCGCTGGTGGTCGTGTCTGTCAGAGTCTCGGGAGGGATGACCGTTTGAGGCTCGAAGTGCTGGATGGCTGGACGGCTCTCGTTGGCGAGGTCCTCGAAGGTCCCGCGCCGGGCCACCTCCATCAGGTCCGACATTGAAGTGCCTCTTTTCTCCATGTTGGTCAGCTCGACGACCATGCGCTCGGCCTCTGGTGGCGGGCCGCAACTGCTCGGGCGCGCAGCGGAGGAGAACGTCGCCGTGTGAAATCCAAATCACCGAAGTCGGCCTCGAGGACCCCGCCAGAATCCGTTGCTCTTGTTCCGAGACTCGAGCAGGGCCGTACCACGTGGCCTTGACGGATCCACGGCCCTTCCGCCATCAGTAGCAGTGCTCGCCGGTGTGCCAGCGAGTAGTGACGCGGCTGCGGGCGTGTTCGGCATGGCGACGACGTTCCGAGTACTCTGCCTCGATGAAGGAATGTCTGGCGTTGAGGCGTCGTTGTTCTCTGCTCTCGCCGCTCCCGTCATCAATGGCGAAGGGGTTGTGCGAACCCAGGGCGCCGCCGATGCCGAAGGCGTGGGCGTAGGGGGAATGGCTCCCCACTTTGTCGAGGTCGTTGATGGCGTGGATGACCTGGCTAATGGCCTCGTCGACGTCGCAATCGTAGTTCTGCTTCCGGAACTTGGTGAACGTCCACTTGAAGAGCTGGGTGCGTCGCTCGACCTTGCCCATAAGCCAGTGAGCCTCGCCAGGAGCGATGAACATCTCAATGCCGCGAGAGCTGCGCCAACCCTAGGTCAACTCCGCACTGTGACATCCCTCGGCGTCACATCGGATAAGCCGTGGGGCACGGTAGTGGTCGGCCCAGGAGCGCCAGGTCTCGACAACGTCGGCGGCGGACCCGTTGCCGGAACGCTGGGACTTGTCGCCATGATTGGTCACCAGCGTGAGACCGGACCCCTCGCCAAGGTTGAGAGTCAAGAGGTTGATCGCGTCGTCCTTGGGGTCTGTCCACTCCAAGCCGTCACTCCCCATCACTTCGAAGACCTCGGAGACCTCGATGCCAGCGGCGGTCCGACCGGCCTTCGGCAGCACGGAAGAGTTGCAGGCGTGGCATTTGAAGTTCTTCGCCATCTTCAGCACCTGGAGGCTGGAACCTGAGTTCTTCAGGATCTTCACCATCGTCCGAGCGCTGGGATGTCCGAGATTGCGATGTAACCGGCTGAGGCGGTGCTCGATCTCCTGCTCCTCCTTGGTGCTCCGACGGCCTCCGTCCTTGGCCAGCTCCTGGCCGTCGTCTCCGTCAAGCTCGTCGTCGGACTCGGCCTGGTCGTCCGGCTCGACGTCGTCGTCTCCCGCGATGTCCGTGTAGATCTGCCCGTCGGGCTTGGCCTGGTCATGAGGCTTGACGTCGTCGTCCCCGGCGATGTTCGCGTCGATCTGCTCGTCCTCCGTGCTGTCGCAGGTGAGGAGTGCAAGAGAGCCCGCGGCGGCTCCGCCTCCTGCGCGAAGGATGTGCTTCGCCCAGGCCTTACATAGAGCAGCTGGGTAGAACGCCGTCGAGGCCACGACCTTGCTGCCGATGGTCTCGCCGTGCTCGTGGTTGTCATGTCGGCCTGGGTGGTTGCTGCACCTCTTGCCGATCGCCTTGTGTAGCTGGGGATCCGTGGAACAGATCTTCCAGACCTCGGGCAGCAGCAAGCCGCTGCGAGGGCAACGTAGCCCGAAGGCGCATCCCGACACCAGCGTCTCGTAGGTCTGCTCTTTGATGCGCCGCAGAGAAGCAGAGCGTGACCAGCTCTGTGAACGTTGCGGCTGCTCGAGGTCGACCTCTGTCCCGTGATACTGCAAACCGATGGAGAGGAGGGTCTCGCATCCAGCCTGCATACTCCTGACCTTCTGCACCTTCTTGCGCAGCTTCTCGCGGTCCTCCGCGGTCTTCTGGTTCCAGTTCTGCAGTAGGCAGTCTGCAGTGCAGGGAGGGCTCATCACGATGCGTCGGGGCCGAGGTGGACGGATCCAAAGAGCCAGGCGTCGAACTTCAGTCTTGGTCGCCATATCGAAACCGTTGTGCACTCCAGCGCGAAAGGCGAGCCCGCCCTGGTCGATCACCGCCTGGGCCAGAGCAGAAATAGGCGGCGTGCAAACTTCCAGGAGGTCGTACCGCCCCTGACGGACTAGAAAGTTGACGTCGTCCCCGATCTCCTTCTTGTAGATCAGGTCGTACTGGTCGATAGCCTGCTGCAAGACGTCATGGTCCTCGTGGTTCAGAGCTGCTTGCGTCCCCTTTTTGTCGCTGTCTCCTTGTCGGCTGAAACGACTGAATGTGCTGGTGCTGCTCCCTCCTGTGGCCGCTGCTTCTTCCGACATGGAGGCTGGTGCCCGGCGAGGACGTTGGTGGATGGCTTCCCCTCCTTCAGCAGGAGGCACTTGTGTGACGTTCCGCACGTTCATGAACACCCGTTCCGCTTGCGTCCCAGCTGGCCGCAGCAGTCGCATCTCCTCGACCGTGCCAGGGGAGCTGGAGGATCCGTTCCCGAAGCAGAGGCCATCACATCCGTCGGGGACGCAGAAGCGGATTCGCTTCGAAGAGCACGGGCGTCGGCCGGCACCTTAGCTGTCCACGACGTCGGCAGCTCCTGACTGAATGGAGTTGTCTTGCAAAATGCAGGACGAGGCGCGGAAGCCGAAGGCGGCGGTGGCACAACCAAAGGCGATGAGCCCGTGCCATGGCGGCATGTCATCCACCAGATATGGAAGGTTATGAAGCTTATCTGGATGCACTCTCATGAGCCGAAAGAGCTCGGTACACAGCGCAAGCATCAAGATCCGGAGCAGTCTCAGGAGGATGTTCCATCATGTTGGGAGCCGAACTCTGGGGGCCTTGTAGAGATGTCTCCAGGTGGGTCCTCGCATGCATCGTGGAGGCTCTCTGGGTACCCGAAGATGTCTCCCAAGATGTCCGCGAAAGTGGCTTAGGTTTCGGCGTCGTAGAAATCATCGTCGGGGATGTCGTAGGCGCAGTAGAGGGATCCAAAAGCTGAGAGGTTACAGGGGGGATCTTCTCGGAGAATCTGGAGGCTTCTGAGCCTCGCCCTTGCGTACTGGAGTCCTGGTTCCTTTAGGGGCCTTTTCGGGGACGATGGCTGTCTCGGGCGCTGGCATCACCAGGAATCTACTTGGGCCCCCCCAATGGACTGGGAGGAGGTGTGTTTCTTAAGTCCACCAGGGGGCGCTGTCCCTAGCTCGAGGGCGTGGCAGCACCCGACAGAAACTCCGCCGAGCCCGTCAGCTCGGTCCTGACCTTGGCCTCAGGCAGGTCGCTGACGTCCACCAGGGCCTTCTCACTGTGCCGCTCGGTGATGTTCGGAAGGTTGCGAGGGACGTGCTGCCACCACGTGGGAGTCGTCACGTTGATCGCCAGATGTCCGCTCGGCATCTTCCGGCACTGGACGATGTTGCTCGAGAGCTTCGGTAACATCAGGTAGCCGTTCCCGCAGTCGATCAGGGCGCTGGCGTGGTCAGGTCCGAGAATGTCCATCCCGATCAGCAGGGGCACCTCATTGTCCATGATAGAGAGCTCGATATTCTCCAGCCCGTCTCCGAGAAAGATGTCGCCCGTCATGGTCCCCATTGAGCTCTTGCGCTTGCCGTCGCCGAAGGTGAAATACCGCGTCAGCTCCGCCGAGTCGAAGTTGAGGTCGTGCTTCTCCTTCATTTCGTAAGCCAGGTTCTCCGCCATCGTGACCCCGATCAGGCTCGGAGTAGCGCCGCAGTCCAGGATCGCCCAGATGCCCCCCTCGTCGTCCAGTAGGAGGACCAGCTCTCCAAGCTCGAGGAGCGCGAACGAGGTGGTCTCGTTGGGCTGGGGCCTGCCTCGCGCCTTGTTCCTCTCCGGGCAGTCCTTCGCCTGGTGCCCGAGGTTGCGGCAGGCCAGGCACCTCATCCTGCGCATGTCACGCACCGATTCCTTCTCAACGTCAGCACGTGTCTTGCGAGGCGGGTCCCGAGCAGCTCGAGAACGGGGAGGTCCGTCAGGAGGGCGGGGTGCCAGAACAGGGTAGTTGTCCCGCGCCACCTTCAGGCGCCTGATGAGGTCCCGGGCATCCTTGAAGTTCCTTCCCATCTGCTTGAACTCCGCGTAGATGCCATCCTCGTCTTCGACGGTGTCCTCCCGGTCGTCCAGCACCAAAGCATCGTCCTCGTCGGCCAAAGTCACCAACTGATCAATTATGTCCGCGAGCTCGGACCGGTCCCCGTCGTTGTGATCAGCGTCGTTGTCGTCGGCCTCGCCGTAGAAGCCTGAGCGCCTGTCCTTCTTCTCATGGACCCCGTCGAGCTCCTTCAGTGCCTCCAGCGGGTATCTCGTGCACAGCGCTTTGTAGGTCTTGTCGAAGTCATAGTCGCCCCCCGCCATCGCAGTGATCTCACCGCGCGCGACTGGTGACAGCCGCGATCGCCGCAAGTACCACCACGTCCGCAGAGGTCCTGCGATGACCTCCGTCACGGCGTCGTCCACCGCTTTCAGCTGCGCCAGTAGGTCTCGCTCATGGGCCTCCCAGCGCGCCGTCCAGTCGGGGAAGCCCTCCCCGATCTCGCGCTGCAGCTTGTTGAAGAACTTCTCAGCTGAGTTCCCCATCTCGTTCACATTTGACAGGTCCAGCTTTGAGAGGAGAAACTCAAAGACGCGCTGCCAGCCGTCGAGCTTGCCGCCGTCTGAGACCTCGTCGATCTTGTCGATGTCAGGGCATGCCTGCGCCAGTCGGCGCGTCCTGGCCCCCAGCGCACGCACCAGCTGGGGCCCCACCACGTACCTGTCTGGGAGCTTGTAGCTCACCGTGAAGAGCCCGACGTCGAAACGGTACGAGAGGAGTTTGTCGGGCTTTCCATCCCAAGTGGGAACGTCGAGGCGTAGTCTACCTGCGGCGCTGGCCGCTGCACCACCAGAAGACGTCCCACTCGCCATTGCCGTAGTCTAACGGCTCCGCTACCAATCTGAATACATGGGCTCCTCCGAGCCCGTCACGTCGTCGTCGAACTTTTTGTTCAGGACACGGAGCACTTGATGCTCCAGAACATGTGCTGCGGCCAGCCTCCGCTGCGAAGGGCGCAACTCGCCCTGTTGTCTAAAATCCCGCCCTCCCGCAACCGAGCCTCAAAGGCTGCGAGGAGGGCAACATGCTGGGCTGAACCCCTCACGCGATCTCCATCGCAATCTAACCCTGGGCCCTCGATCTTTAGGATGGGCCGGCGCTCCCCCCCTGCCGGCGATCCCCTCCTGGGCGCTGTCCGGCTTCCTTCCGCACCCACCGCGATAGCACCGGGTCAGGACGGAACCTTACGTCGGGCCTGTCCCTCTACAGGAGGCATGTTCAGGTTCAAATAATAGTAAAAAACATAGCCTGGGGACGATTCGTCGATCCTTTTTGACCCTTGTTGATCAGTGTTTTTGACTATTTTTGATTTTTCTTCCACCACTCGGCCTGTAGGAGGACATTCCCGACTCGGGGGCTGCTAAAGGTGCCCCTGGCCCAAGGTGCCCCCGGCTTTCCGTCCAACTCTGGAGCCCCTGGGGCTCTTTGGGCCTCGTGAGGGGTGCTCTGGAGGCCGTCTGGGCCTCCCCGGAACTTCATTTCTCGTCCAAGATCCGCTCGTAGGGGGACACCCCCGACCTGAGTGCAGCGTCGGCCAGCGTCGCTTCGGCGTCCGTGAGCGTCGACTGGCGCCGACCAGCGCCGGCTCGCACGAGCCGACAGGATGGTGCGGGAGGCTCCCGCGAGCTGGCACCGAAGGGTTGGCGCGGGGCGCGCGCACACGGCGGGCGGGTGCCGCGTCGGCGCGGCGGGGGCCCCTCGGCGCGGGGCGCCCCGAGGGCGCCCAAGGTCGAGGCCAAGGTGCCGAGGCCCGGGGGTGCGGCGCGGGCCTGCCGCAGGCCGCGCCGCCCAGCGGCATCCCCCGAGGGCCCACACCGCAGCGACTCTCGGGTGAGATTCGTGGTCGACTCCCAGGAAGAGCTCGTGGGCGGCACCCCGAGATACTGATGCTATGTGTGCGTCGCCCCCCCCCCCCCCAGGGGCGACGCGAGCACCGAGGAGTCTTGCAGTATCTGCGTCGTGGCGGGCGCTTTCTGGCCGTGCCGCTCGGGAAACGATGTGCTGCAATATGGTTATACTACATGTTCGGGTCGGACGCACGCCTCCGAGGAGGGCACATCGTACTCTTATGTCCTTGTGCGTCCCATATAGGGAGCATATGGGAACTAGGGGGGAAGACGAAAGCCCGGAATAGATGGGAACATTTGGAGAGTCCTGGGACTTGTATCTGTCTGTCGGTGTGTCCCTGGCCCCCCTTGGAGATGCTCGGCAGGACCGGCCGCACGGATGTCTCCGCAACCGTTGCCGCTCGAGCCCTGGGCCCCGTTGGCTCGCTGAGGGAGGCCCTCCTTGCCACGGTTAGATGGGAGGCGCTACGGTCGGACCGAGGTATAAGATCGAGGTCGGCTCGGGGAGGGCACCCTGATGTTCATCGTGTTTGTTGGATGTTCTTGTGCACCGTGGGGGAGGGTACCCTTGGGTGTTCGGTGCGTTTTGTCCGGCGTGGGGTCTCGTATGATCGAGGGATGTTCTTCTGTCCCAGGTTCGAGTGTAGTCATGATGAGCAGCGCACGCAACACGCACAACACACAAACACGCATGCGCATGCACGTGCACCGGATTGGAGGGTCGCCCCCAAGGCGTCCGTTTTTTCTTCGGGGGAGGGCGTCCCCTGCCATGCTCCCATATGGCAGATCGTCCTCCTCTTTCAGCTCTGCCATCCCCTTGGCAGAGTGGACATTATCTGCCCAGCGAAACTCGTTACAGTCAACCCGCATACAAGTGAGCATTTGATTAAGAAACCTCCCCCCTTCAAGCTGTGCCAGCATTTCTCAACCAACTTACCAGAAGGCTGGCCCACTTTCTTGAGCACGCTTGCCCCTCTAGCGTGAACAACAGAAGTTGGCCCAGGTTTGTTATAAGAAGCCTCCCGGAAGCTAGCCCAGATCTCTTTACTGCTACTTTTCTTGATCATTTTGTTCGGTTGTAGCAAGGATGGGCGATTTTCCAAGGTTGCCGTTGCATCCTTCCGCGACCCGATCCTTGAGCCGAACCAGCGGCCACAGGTGATCCACAGACTGCGCCAGGCCATCTCGGGCGCCCCCAGAACAGACCGCGCGAACGTGATCCACAGACTGCACCTGCACGAGCGCGCGCATGGCCTCTCACATCTGGTCCTTAGACATGATCCGTAAAGCATATGTCTTGATTATGAACAGAAAATTGGTTGATCAGTTCTCGGCGCGTGGTTGTGGAGGTTGAGATGATGATGATGATGATGATGATGATGATGATGCTGATGATGATGATGATGATGCTGATGCTGATGCTGATGCTGATGCTGATGCTGATGCTGCTGATGATGATGATGATGATGATGATGATGCTGATGATTGTGTTTTTGTGCCATGCTGCGCGCAGGGGTGGGCGCCCTTCGGTTTCTTGGGCCGAACGGATCGCACGCGCCATAGTATCCGCCATTCACATAAACTACTTCTGCGTTCAGTAGCTTCTTCAAAAATGGCCATGCATTTGCGGAAGCGACTCCTTTTCGGCCCATCTTTGGTCGCTTCGCTGGCCGCGCCCCGCCCGCAAAGTATCGACGTGGCCTTCCGGGGCCCTTGCATCCTGATCGTGCGTCCTTGTTGTACGTGTTGACTGTGCAGTCGAACATCTGATGAAGAAACCTTTTCCCGGAAAGCTGGGCCAGCGTCTCTTGACCAGATTGCCAGGAAGGCGGGCGGCTCAGTTTCTTAAGCACGCTCGCCCCTCTGGCGTTCACGACAAAAGTTGGTCCAGGGTTCTTTCGAGAAGCTTCGGGAAGCTGGCCCAGATTTTCAATGATGATATTCTTGATCTCTTGTCGGCTGTAATGAGACATCGCGACCAGGTTCCCTAGACCTCGTCTTTCTGCGGCTCTATTCCGAGCCGGATATCGACCCGGAATGCCTAGAAAAGGCCGCGACGCTCGAGGTGGCCTCCAGAGCCGCCAGATCTCAGAGATTCTCGATTTTTATCCTCACCCGATTTTATCCTCGTCCTGCCTTCGCCTTGCCTTACGTTTTGCACCCCTGCCTGGAGGAGCGGCGGAGCACGCGGAGCACGGCCTTCAACGACACCAGCAGCCGGTCGCACAGCCTCGTGTTCGTCCACGTGCGGCTGCTCGGGCGGGCCCCAACTTGAGAAGCAGTCGGAGGTTGATAGACCTCCTACCCTGACACGTCGAGTAGCGAGCTGGCCGTTTTCGGTTCGCGAGAGGGCGTCGCGGCCGTCATTTCTGCGGGTCCAGGTCCGTCGGTTTCGGTCCCAGGCCGTTTTCACTGAAGGGAGGTTTACTAAAGGGAGGTTTGTCCACCGCCGAGGCGTTGGGAGCACCGCCCAAGGGCCACGCACAAGGGCACGCAGGGGCGACGCGCGCGCGCTCGGCAGTTTTTTGCAGAGCAGGCTCCGCGGCGGGCGCTGTCTGGCCATGCCGCTCGGGGAAAGAGATGTGCTGCAAGATTTTGTGCTCTATGCGTTCGGGTCGGGCGTGCGTTTCCAGCAGAGGCGCATGGTGCTACAGTCAACCAGCATAGGAAAGATGGGCAACCTTTCCCAGGACACCCTTCCATCCTTGCCTCCTCGGTCCATCCTTCGCCACTTTCGTTGGCCGCGCCCCGCTCGAAAAGCTTCGAATTGGGTGTCCAAGGCCCTTTTATCCTTATCGCGCATCCTTACTATACAGGTTGACTGTAGTGTGTCCTGGTGCGTCCCAGCGCTGGCGGCGGCGGCATCGACGACGGCAGTCTGCGGCGTCGACAGGAAGTCACCGCCCCCAAACCTGAGTTGGTCTGGTATCGCCGAGCGCATTCCACTGCTCGCAGAGCGCCTCTTCGCAAGCGTCCGCAACACAGAACGTTCTCCTCGATGTGATGGATCGCGGAGCCCCCTCAGCGGATCCAGGCCATCTGCGAGTGGCTGCCTTGCGAGCAGTGGAACGCGCTTGCCTGCCGTAGGCAGTCAGCGAAGCGGCGGCGGTGGCGCCCGCGCCGAGGCTGCCGTGCACGGAGGGCGCGGCGGCCCAGGGGCCGCCCGCGCTGCGCCTGGCGCTGGTGGACCTGGCGGGCTCGGAGCGGCTGCAGGGCGTGGCCGCCGACCCGCAGGCGGCCTCCCCGGACGACGACGCCGCCGCCGACGACGACGACGCCGACGCCGACGATGACGACGACGCCGACGACGACGACGACGACGACGACGACGACGACGACGACGGGGCTCAAGAGACGGGGGACCCCCGTCTCTTGAGCCCCGAACCCTTACCCCACTGGCCACTGGTCGCAGCGCTGCGCGAGGCCGCGCTCCGAAGCAGCCTGCGCGCAGCCGCGCGGCGACGACCCGTTTGCCCAGTGCCAAGCGGCGCGGGATGCCTCCCGGCCGTGCGAGGAGGAGGAGGAGGAGGAGGAGGAGGAGGAGGAGGAGGCGGCATGATAGGCGTCGAAAAAAGATCACGGCGGAAGGTTTTAGACCACTCTCGGCCTCCGGGGGCCCTCGCCAGGCCCCGGGACCGTCGAAAAGACGGCTCAGGATGGAAAATCGGTCCCGGGGAAAGGGTCGGGTCAGGAGGAATGTTCAAGAGTAGTCAAAGAGTGGTCCGGGGACGATTCTTTTGGTATTCCTGATTTTTTGGGGGTATCGTTTGACTTCTCTTTCTTCTTCGTCCAGAATCCGCCTGTAGGGGGCCATGCCCGACCCAAACCTCTCATCGGACTTCTGCTGGGCCTCCGCTGCTGGACGTCTGCGACGCGGAGGGGCTTGCCGAACACTGCAGGGCTTCCGCCGTCGGCAGGTTCCAAGCATGTCTTCTACAAGAGGTGTGGGATCACCCACTGTCGTTGCACTCCACTCTTTTCTCCCTCCCTCTGCTGGTACCCTGCTCTCGCTCTTCCTCTTGCCCCCTTTTTTCCGCCACCATTTTCCTCAAGATTCTACAGCCGCTGTCACGGTGCATGTCTTCAAGTCGATCCATGCGCCCGAAGACGCAGCCGACGCTAGGATTTGGCCATGGAAGCGCGTACTCCGTCGTGGACTCCGGCTTCGCTGCGGCGTCCATCAGGTGTGCGGCTCTGCCTCGTCGGTGGGTGGTGTGCGGGGCGCTGGCATCCACAGCAGTTCTCGGGCTGGCTGGAGCCAGCCTCGGCCGATCCCGCGCCGCTCAGGCCGCGGGCCCCGCGGGTGGGCAGACTCGGCGGTGCGCAGCAGGGAGGGCCCGGCAAGGGGGACCAGCCTTTCTCAGAAGGCATCTGGACCCTCAGAGGCCCTCCTGCCTCCCGCGAAGCCTTCGCAGAGGCCTCCGAGGAGGGCCCGTCACTTCCAAGAAGCCCCCCCCTCCTCGCCGTGACCCCCTTCTGCGCGCCGCCAGCGGAGTTTGGTCGTGCTCGCCGCGGAGGCGGCGGGCTGGTGCGGCGGGCCTGGGGACGAGTGCACCGCCTCGCAGTGCTGCCAGGACGGTGGTCCCAGCGGCTACCAGTGCTACGCGAAGGACGACTACTGGGCTCAGTGTCTGGCGACCTGTGAGAAGGGCAGACGCGAGGACGGCGAAGGCAACTGGAGTTGTGGGGAGCTTGGCGACCGCTCCCACATGGGCTGCGCGTTCGCGGAGGACGAAGATGGGTGCGATAAGGAGAAGCATCGATGTTTTTGGGGATGGGGCGATGCTGGGAGCCGCGCGTGCCAGGAGAAGTGCTCCGGCTTACAGACAGATGGGGCTTGCAATCGCCTGGACCATTGCATGTGGTCTGAGGACGCCTGCAAGCCAGGCTGCTTCTCGTACGGCCAGGATAGTTGTCCCATCGACCAGTGCATGTGGGACGCTGGCCAGTGTAAGCCAGCCTGCTGGTCGATGACTGATGCTGAGTCCTGCAAGAACGTCAGCATGGAGAATGGCTGCATCTGGCAGGGGGGGCAGTGCATTACCGATCCGGGCGCGGTAAGGAGCTCGATAGAGACGCTCCCCTCCAGCAGCGAGAGGGTATCGCGCACAGAGGCCTCAGCCACGACGCCGATATCATCAACGACTCCGAGCATAACTACGGTCTCGACCACGACTCCGACCTCTAGCAGAGCTGTGCACATAGAGCTGGTCGTGTCGGTGTCCTGCTCAGATGATCTCGCCTGGGTGGATGAGGTGGACTGCGAGCACACGTCCGTCTACCTCTACTCAAGGGGCAGCCCCGGCAGCGGAAGTGAGCAGGTGTCCTGCCGGGTACCCCAGCTGCCCCACTGCGCCCGCATGGAGATCCTGCCAGACGCCACCGAAGTGGTCGCGGCGTACCTCCACCACCTGAAGGCGCGCCGCGCGCGCCTCGCCGAGCCCGGGACCCCGCCCGGCGCCCTGGTCTTCCTGCCTGGGGACGCGAAGTGGGCGGATGGCCTGCTGGGCGCAGCGGAGTACGCGCGGGGCTGGGCTGCAGCAGGGGTGGGCTTCGCACCGCTGAGCTTCGCCGCCTGCTCGCGCGAGGGCCTGCAGGCGCAGGGAAGCGAGGCGAGCATGGGCCTGGTGTGCAACTTGTTCAGTTTCCTCACCGGCGTCGAGGGCAGCCGCAACTGGGTGGCCGGGCTCGAGAACCAGTTCTTTGTGTCCTTCCGCAGGGAGGGCGAGGTGCCCACGTGGCTGTACGATCATCTCCTGGACGTGATGTCCGACGCGGACGGCGGTCAGTGGCGCGCGCCGGCCATGGAGCGCCTCTGGGGGCCCCTCTTCGGCTGCTGGGCGCCGTTCCCGCACTCGCTGGGCCTCCTGCGGGGCGCCTATCCGGAGTGCAAGGACCCGTGGGCGGGGAAGCATACCCACTATCCACGGCCTCGCGGGCCAGGCCCCTGGGCCGCAACCCGATTGCTACGGGGCGCCTTTCTCGCGGACGCTCCGCGCAAACGCACTCGTGCGACTGCGCATCCACGGGAGACGACGCGCCAGAGCCCAGACCGCGAGGGCGTGGATGTGGACACACTCGCCGCCCGTGGAGGACGACTGCGACGGAGGCCCGTCGTGTGGGCCCAACCGCCCGCTCGTGCAGCGCGGCGCGGCTCCGCGGCAGGGGACGCGCGAGTGGGTGCAGTCCATGCTGGCGCCCGCCGACCACGCGCTGTCCGCTTGCACCGGGAGGGCGCGCCTCTTCAGCGAGGGTTACGCCGCGCACGAGGAGGTGTCGGGGTGGCCGTGCGAGCTGCTGTTTCAGGATCGGCTGCGCGTAATGCGTAAGGGTTCAGAGGAGGAAGAGGTACCGATACCGCTGCTCGTCCCGGAAAGCCCTCGTCGCCACGGCTGGACGTTTCCCGAAAGGCTAGTCAGAACGCACCCCAGGAGAGGTCCAGAGAGCAGCGGTATCGGTACCTCTTTGTTCCCCCCCAGGGTGGCCCTTCGCGGGCGTGACCTTTCCGGAGTGGGCACTCAAGGCCTCCCACATTGGCCCGCGAGGTCGGATTTGGCCCCCCCGCGGCCTCCCGACAGCCGCGCAGCAAATATTGCTCTTGCTTGGGGTCACTCTTGCGTGCCGTCGACAGGAGGGGGGGCCGTCCGCCGGCCCCGGCGTCTGCGCCGTCGGGTTCCTCGTGGAGCTGACGGAGATAGGCAGCGTAGGTCCGCCAAACACATCGAGAGATGTGGGAGGTGGGCATCACCAGCCGTCACGGCGTCGTGCTGAAGGCGCCGGCCTGGACGCCGATCTGACGCCGCACTTCTGGCACATCGGCTTGGGGAAGGCGTGCTCGAATGGGCATGACATCCGGCTGGGCTCGTCATCCACTGAAGGGAGCATCCAGAAGTGCGGCAAGGCGTGCCTGATGTACAGCGAGTGCGCTGGCTTCTCCTGGGAGGAGGCCAGGCGCAACTGCACCCTCCTCACAGGCACCTGCGAGAGGGGCGGGGACGAGCTCGTGCAGCTCTACGCGAAGAGAACGGCCCTGGCGCCGCTTGAAGTGGTGCTGGCGGGCTACTGCAGGGACGACTTCGACTGGATCAGGAAGGTCGACTGCGCAGCCGCGGTCGTCTTTCTGTACACCAAGTGCGACAGCGAGGACCCCCTGCAGAACATCCCGGCGCGGCTGCCGCCCTGCTTCCAGCTCGAGGTCCTCTCGAACGTCGGCAGGGAAGGCGGTGGGGCAGCAGAAGGGTACGGATGCCGCTAATGTCGGCTTGTGATTAACAGTTGAGGGCCCCCCCTCTCCCATGGCGGATGAATAGACCCCGCAGGGCGCGAAACTAGTGAAACCAAGCGCGCCAGGGGGTCGTTGCGGGCGCCACCGAGGGCATCGAGTACATCCCTGCACGGTGCCCTCAAAGCGATGACCTATGCATGTATGTATGCATGTATGCATGCATGCATGTATGTACGTATGTAAGCATGCATGCATGCATGCACGCATCTATGGTTGTTTGTGTTTTTTTGTTTATACGTATGTATGTTTGTATTCATGTATGTCTGTGTGTGTATGTGTGCGTGTGTAAGTATGTTTGTATGTGTTTATGTATATTATAAGCGTATACATATTTGTGTATATATGTGTATTCATGTTTGTCTGTCTGTATATATAGAGATGCATGATTGTATGCATGGATATATGTAGGGATGTAGGTCTGCATGTTTGGAATGATGCATGCATGCATGTACCTATGTAGGTATGCATATATGTATTGTGGTGTGATGTAATGTAACATATTAAAATAGTGTGATTAATTGTAATGTAAGGCAATCCAGTGTACTGTACTTTAGTTATGTCTGTAGGTATTTATATGCATGAATGCATGTATGTTTGTCCATCTGTATGTAGGTCTACATGCGCTTATGTATGCATGCATGCACGTATGTATGTATGTACGCACGTGCGTGTACACATGCATGTATGCATGCACGTACGTATGTATATGTATGCCTGTCTGCCTCTCTGTCAGTGTGTTTGTCTGCCTGTTTGTCCGTATGTATGCATGTAGATATGCAGGCATGCATCGACTCATGCATGCATGAATGAATGCATGTGTGGATTCATGTATGTATGTATGTACGTACGTATGTATGTATGCATGCGTGTATGTATGCATGCATGTGTATGTGTGTGTGCGTGTACATGTGTGTATGCGTGTATGTATGTATGCGCACATGCATGCATGGATGGATGTATGCACGTACATGTATACATATATATATATATATATACATATGGGCATGTATGTATGCATGCATGTATGTCTGTATGTATGTCTGTATGTATGAACGCAAATGTATATATATATATATGTATGTATGTATGTATGTATGTATGTATGTATGTATGTATGTATGTATGTATGTATGTATGTATGTATGTATGTATGTATGTATGTATGCGTGTATGCAGGTATGTGTGTATGAATGGTTGTATGTTTGTTTGCATGTATGTATGTAGGTAGGCAGGTATGTCTGCATGCATGCCTGCATGCATGCATGCATGCATGCATGTATGTATGTATGTATGTATGTAGGTAGGTAGGTAGGTAGGTAGGTATGTACGTATGTCTCTCGAAGGTTGGGGGGAGATCGAAGTGGAACGGAGAGCCCCCTAACAGGAAATCGGTTTCGTTTTCGGGTTCGAGTCGTGCGTTCGGGCGAGGTGAAGCTGCGTGGGCGCGCGAGAGGAATGACTCCGCTGTGGCTAGGGTTGGTCAAGAGCCGTTGACCGCCACTCCTCCCTCCCTGGTGGGCGGGCGGTGGCCCGGTTGTCCCGTCGTGGTGTCCCATCGGTGTCCCGTCGGTGACCCGTCAGTGTCCCGTTCGTGTTCCGTGGCTGTCCCGTCGCTGTCCAGTCGGTGTCCCGTTGGTGTCCCGTGGGTGTCCCGTCGGTGTCCCGTCCGTGTCCTGTCGGTGTCCCGTCGATGTCTTGTTGGTGTCCCGTTGGTGTCCAGTCGGTGTCCCGTCGGTGTCCCGTGGTGAGATCGATAGTGAGATCGATAGTTATGCCGACAGTGAGATCGAGCGTTGTCCCGCAGGTGTCCCGTCCGTGTCCCGTCGATGTCCTGTAGTGTCACGTGAAGATCGATGGTGAGATCGATAGTGAGACCGATCGTGGGATCGATAGTGAGATCGATAGTGAGAGCGACAATGAGATCGATAGTGAGATCGATCGAGTGAGACCGATAGTGAGATCGAGCGAGTGAGATCGATAGTGAGATCGAAAGTGAGATCGATTGGTGTCCCGATGGCGTGCTGATGGTGTCTCGTGGTGTCCCGTCGGTGTTCCGTCGGTGTCTCGCGGGTGTCCCGTTGGTGTGGTGTCCCTTCGGTGTCCCGTCGTAGTCCCGTCGGTGTCCCGTAGTGTCCCGTGGTGAGATCGTTAGTGAGACCTATAGTGAGATCGTTACTGAGATCGATCGTAGGATCACTAGTGAGATGGAGAGTAAAATCAACAGTGAGATCGATCGAGTGAGCATCAAACTTAGCGCCAACCATCACAGCACAGTAGTGGTGGCATTTTTTTGGCCTCATGGTGCCCTGGTGGTGTCTCGATGGTGATTAGCTCGATCGAATGGGATCGATAGTGGGACCCCATCGCGACACAGCATCGTCAACAAGCGTCGTCGCCAACACGAAGGCGCATCACCAGCATCGTCATCAGCACCGCCATCGCAGTTGTTGTCAGTTGGTTCTTTCTCTCCCCCACCAACCTCCTTATCAACCGAAGGGTGGTCGTATTGGTGTGTATATGTACGTGTATATATCCGAGGCGAATATTGTCCCCCCCTGCCAGGCTGATTTTCGCACGTGCCACAAACGTCGTCGTCGTCGTCGTCGTCCATCACACCACCCCACACCCACCCATGGGGCATCCCCAGGGATCCCCAGCGTGTCGTCGTCGTCCATCGCTGGGAATCCCCAACGCGTCGTCGTCCATCGTCGTCGCGTCGCCGCCGTCGTCGTCGACTGCAGCGGGCCTACGCAGCATCCCTCCCTCTGTGGGGCATCCGCAGTGCGTCGTCGTCCGTCGTCGCCGCCGCCGCCGTCGACTATATTACAGCGGGCCTACGAAACACCCCCCCACGGGGCGTCCGTGGTATGTCACCGTCGTCGTGGTCGTCGGTCGTCGGTCGTCGGTGTCGGTCGTCGGTCATTGGTCGTCGGTCGTCGGTCGTCGTCGTCGGTCGTCGTCGCCATCGTCATCGTCGTCGTCGTCGTCGTCCTCGTCGTCGTCGTCGTGGTCGTCGTCGCCGTCGTCGTCGTCGTCGTCGTCGCCATCGTCCACTGCGGCCATGCGCATCACCCACCCCGGCTCATGGGGCATCCGCAGCGCGCGCGCGTCGTCGGTCGTCCCGTCGTCGCCCCCGTCGCCATCGTCGTCGTCGTCGTCGTTGTCGTCGTCGTCGGCTACAGCGGGTCCACGCGGCACTTTCCCCCTGAGATACATTGTCGTGGAGAGGGGGAAGGAGAAGGAAGGAAAAGGAGAAGGAGTAGCTGTTACCACCTGCCTCTGCCGCTCCTTCCCCTTTAGATTTTCCTCTTTGTAACAAAGTTGGCACCGCCCGCCAGTTGTGAGGCGCCTCTTCCTCCCGCCTCCTCCTTTCCTGTCTGTAGCCATTTTGGCACAGCCGCCCCGCTGTAGCGGAGGCGTTGTCGTCCCCCCCCGCTGAAGCGGCGCCGCTGGCGTCGCGCCTGTTGCCCTCCATCTGGCGGCTGGGTGTCGGCGCTAGTCACCGGCGCCGCCGTGGTGTGCCTCCAGCTTGTGTGCGTCCCCCCCGGCGATCTCGCCCGAGCAGGGAACCTTATTTTTTAAGCCCCCCCTGGCTTGATTCAGTGAGTCCGAAGCTGACATTGTTCCCTGGACCTCTCCCGGGGTGCGTTCTGACGGGAATTCGTGGCGAATCCAGTCGACGAGGGACGGGTAGCGATATCAGTGCAGTGGAGACCCATGCCAAGAAACACCCTGGTTGCCTGCAGGGTGCACTGGGTTTCTTGGGTTTCGATGGTTTTGCCACTGAAAGCGTGACGCTCCCACACCAAATATCAATGGACGTCCTAGGGTCTCAAGGTTGGGTCTCTTGTGGAAGGCTTCTCGTGGTCGAGCCCCGACTGTAAGCTTCCTCCCTCTGAGGCGGGACGTTCTTCTACCACCTCCACCTCCACCGGGAGCGGTTCGCCAGCTCGCCGAACGCCTCCGGTGCCCTCGTGTTCCTGCAGGGCGAGGTGGAGTGGCGCAGGGGCCCGCTGGACGTGCTCGAGTTCGCGAGCCAGTGGGCCTCCGCTGGCTTCGGTTTCGTGCCCCTCGCCTGGGCTGGCCCCGGCGACCGGGGGCCCTTCTTGAACCAGGAATGCGGCCGGTCCTGCTGGGTGTCGCGGACGAGGCGGTCAGGGGCAGCGCTGGTCAAAGGAGGACGAGGTTCCGCTACCGATTCCCATCCCTCGTCGCCCTGGCTGGATTCGCCCCGCAGTCTGGGTCTGTACGCACCCCGGGAGAGAGGTGGGGAGCATCGGTATCGGTATCTCAGTGTTCCCCCAGTCATGGGGGACAGATCCGGGTGGGAACGCATCGGCCCTCAATCATTGATGGGGGCCTGTTAGCCTGCCCCATCAAGCAGCGGGCGGACTACCTATCGGGGGGCCATGGCCGATTTATCGGCGATGTATCGCCGACTCCAGGTCGATGTTTCCTGCCCCTGGGCCGTTCCCCCCCCTTTCGTTGCCCCTCACCCTCATCTGCCGCCGTGGTGCTTGCCGCGACGTCGCCGTCATCTCTCGGCCTTGTCGCCGTCGCCGTGCTCGCCGCTTCTGTCACTCTCCGCCGCTGCGTTCCACGCCGTCGTTGTCGCGTTCGCGCTCATGTTCAGACCTCAATTGAGCCATGGGCGTTGACGCCCGCACGTTCGTGCCCCCTCAGGCAGCTGCAGAACCTGTTCGAGTTCTTCTCGAGGCAGTCAGAGGCGCAGTCTTGGATCGCCGGCTTCCGGGGGCAGATGCTCGTGTCCAAGCGGCGGGCGTCCCGTGTGCCAGCCTGGGTCCTAAAGTACAGCCTGGAATTGCTGGCCTCCGAGGAGACCAGCAGGTCCTGGTACGGCATGGCCTTCGAGCGGCTGTGGAACGTCGTCTTCGGCTGCTGGGCACCGAACCTCAAGGCCTGGCGGCGCGCAGGGGGGGTAGGGGGGGGGAAGACGAGAGTCAAGAAACTAAGCGACACTGTGGGGTGGGGAACACTGGGATCCCTGTATACCTATACGAACACCCTGCGGGTGATAAGGAGGTTCGGGGGGGGCGGGGACCAGCAATGGGCCACTACCGATCTCAGCACGTGAAACCACGGGACACCGACGGGACACCGATGGGACACCGACGGGACACAATCGATCTCACTGTCGATCTCACTATCCATCCCACTATCGATCTCGCTATCGATCTCGCTATCGATCTCACTATCGATCGCGCTTTCGATCTCACTATACATCTCACTATCGATTCCACTGTCGATCTCGCTATCGATCCCACTTGATTGATCTCACTATCGATCTCACTATCGATCCCACTATCGATATCACGATCGATCTCAGTATAGATCTCACTATCGATCTCTCGCTGTAGATCTCACTATCAATCTCACTATCGGTTTCATTATCGATCTCACTATCGATCTCACTATCGATCTCACTGTCGATCTCACCACGGGACACCACGGGACAACGACGGGACACCGGCGGGACACCGGCGGGACATCAGCGGGACACCGGCGGGACACCGCGCGCTACCGGTTGCCGGGCGGAGAACCTTTTGGTCCAGCCGCGGCCCAGCCACAGGAGAATTTCCTCTCCCCCGCCCGCGCAGCTTCGTCTCGCCCGCACGCACGACACGAACACGAAACCGAAATCGATTTCCCGGTAGGGGGGCTCTCCGTTCCACTTCGATCTCTCCCCCAACCTCCGATTCATTGGTGTGTCCCTGGGCCCCTTCCAAGCAGCCACGCCACCAGGGCCCGAGGATGGCCGTCACGGCCCTGCGCGCCTCGGCGCGGCCCGCGGCCGCGCGCCCCGGCCCCCTGCCGCTCTTGGGGGCGACGGCGCGGCGGCACAGAGGGCCGGCGCGCCCTGGCGCAGCTTGCCTGCTGCTTGGAGGTCGTGGGGGCTTCTTGGGAGGCGTCGGCACCCCGAGGCCTCCAGGGGCGCCCTTCCGGAGGCAGGAGGGCACCCGAGGGGCGGGCCGCCTCCTCTGAGCGCCAGCCCCCCTTCGCCCCCGCCTCCTTCCTTGTGCGTGCCGCCGACAGACCACGCAGCCCTTGGCACTGACGGACTTCCCGGCGTGCCTGGACGACTGCGACGCGAACGGCAGCGGAGGCGACCCCGGGCCCGCCAATGCCAGCGAGTGCGGCCCCGACAGGCCAGTGGCGTGGGAGGGTCTGCCTGCCCCGATGGGCCAGCAGGAGTGGATCGGTGCGATGCTGCGGCGGAGGACGGCGGCGCCGATGCGGTCGGCCCCCCGGCCGGGAGCACTGGCGTCTCTGAGGAGCGAGGTCGGCCATGCGCAGAGGGGGGTAGGGGGAGGGGGGAAGGTTTCTTAGAAGCACCCCTGCTTCTTAGAAGGCGCGGGCCTTCTCTGTAGATGTAAGGCCGGCGCCTTCTAAGAAGCAGCCTCCTAAGAAGCCTTCCCCCCTCCCCCTGGCCCCCTTCTGCGCGCCACCAAGAGGAGCGAGGGCCACACGAAGGCCGGGCTGCTGCCGTGGCACTGCGACCCGCTCATCCCTGGCCTGGACATCCCGAAGGGTCACGGCGTCTGCGCCTTCCGCCGCTGACGAGCCTGGGCCACCGATCTCGGGGGCGGAGGCCAGTGATAATTCGGCAGGACGGAGGGCCGGGGTCGGAGACGAAGTGGAGGGGGGATTTTTTGTTGTCCCAGCCACCCTGTGGTGTTGGGTTCTCGTTTTGAAGGGAACAGCGCCCCGCGACTCCTGTTTCCTCCCTCCTCCCTCCTCCCTCCTCCCATCATCATTGTCACCACCACCACCACCACCACCACCATCATCATCATCAGCATCATCATCATCATCATCATCAGCAGCAGCAGCATCATCATCATTATCATCATCATCATTCTTATTATCATCATCATCACCATCGTCATCGTCATCGTCATCAGCATCACCACCACCATCATCATCACCACTATCTCCATCATCACCACCACCATCATCATCATCATCATCATCAGCATTAGCATTAGCATCAGCATCACCACCACTACCATCATCACCATCATCATCATCATCACCATCACCATCATCATCATCATCATCACCATCACCATCACCATCACCATCATCATCATCAGCATCATCATCATCATCATCATCATCATCATCATCATCATCATCATCATCATCATCATTCATCATCATGAGCATCATCACCATCACCATCACCATCACCATCATCATCACCATCACCATCACCATCACCATCATCATCATCATCATCATCATCATCATCATCATCATCACAACCAACACCACCGCCGTCGTTGTCGTCGTCGCCGTCGTTTTCGTCGTCGTCGTCGTCAACATCGCTGTCATCATCATCACCATCATCGTCATAGTTTTCGGCACAACTCTCGCACGTTTCGTGGTCCCACTGGGAGCTTCACCGAAGGCACCAGTGGCACAGTCCGCATGGCGTGCCCGCGCTCGATTCGGCACACCCTTCACACGTTTCGTGGCCCCACTGGGAGCTCCACCGAAGGCCCCAGTGACACAGTCCGCACGGCGTACCCGCATTCGATTCGGCACACGTCTTATACGTTTCGTGGTCCTATAGGGAGCTCCACCGAAGGCCCCGGTGGCTCAGTCCGCATGGTGTACCCGCATTCGATTCGGCACACGACTTATACGTTTCGTGGCCCCATTGGGAGCTCCACCGAAGGCCCTGGTGGTACAGTCCGCATTGCGTACCCGCATCCGATTCGGCACACGCCTCACATGTTTCGTGGCCCCAGAAGGGGGCTCCACCGAAGGCCCCAGCAGTATAGTCCGCATGGCGTACGCACCCAGTTCGGCACACCCATTCCACGTTTCGTGGCTGTATAGGGAGCTCTGGTGCAGGCCCCAGTGTCAGCGCCCGCATGGCGGCCCCGCCATGTTTCGGCACACCCTTCAGACGCTCCGTGGCCCCATGAGGAGATCCACCGAAGGCGATACCCACAACGACGGTATTCAAAACTGTGTATGGTTGGGCTCTTCGCCAGGGTATTGTTTTTTTTGCTGCATGCACCCGGTTTCGGCCTCGTCGCCAGGCGCCCCTCACTGGCGCCTCCGTCGCTGGGATGCGCTGGAGAGACCCGCTACGTGAATAGATTCGCCAGGGTTTGCCGATGTTTTTTGACGAGCTCGTCTTGGACTTTGACTGGCCAGTTTTCGTGGGATGTCTGCAGCGGGAGCTCGCGTCAAATTTCAGATTGGGCCTCGTCATTTTCGTGATGGCCCCGTCAGGCCAACCCGAGTCCCCCCGTACACGAGTCTTACGTCTCCCCGATCGAGATCTATCCTCACTCGATTTTATCATCGCCCTTGCTTCGTCTCAGCCTTCATCCCCCCTTTCCTCCGCTGGCCCGGGCTTTGGGGGCTGGGTGCGGTGGGCCCCCTGGCGCATCTCCGGGCGACGGAATCTATACACATATCCACTGCTTCCTGGCCAGGCCCATCCTGAACCCAGGAGCTGTGTATACGCCCTCCTGGCCAACCCAGGATGGCGTAGCGTATACACCGCTGCTGGGCTCAGGATGGGCCTGGCCAGGGAGCAGTGGATGTGTAGGAGGAGGAAGAGGGGGAGGAGGAGGAGGAGGAGGAGGAGGAGGAGGATAAGGAGGCGGAGGAGGAGGAGGAGGACCAGTGTAAACCCAAAAGCCATCAACGATGTTGGAATATGCACTCCCTCCGAGCTCCCTCTTCATAGGCCCCTACAACGGTTCATTTCCACTGAGGGAACTCAACGAGGATAACCGTTTGAAGACCCCGAAGTATGCCGAAACATGGTTCTCGGGATTCCTACGCCACGGGTCAACCTGACTGTTGCGTCTTGACTATCCTGAATCGTGCCAGAACACCTTCCTTGGACTTCAACACCGCGATTAAATGTAACTGCTGCACCCTCCAAATCCGGAGCCCTTCCAAAACACCAGTTCTGGCACGCTGATCATGGGAATCCGTGAAGTTCTGTCAAACTTTATAAATGAATGTGCGCGGCGCTCAGGCGAGAGCCACATTTTGAAAACCACCCGCCCTCGATCCGTGAAGCTCTTGCAGATTTTTCAAACGAATGTGCGCGGCGCTGCGGCGAGAGCCACATTTTGAAAACCAACCGCCCTCCATCCGTGAAGCTCTTGCAGATTTTTCAAACGAATGTGCGCGGCGCGAAGGCGAGAGCCACATTTTGAGCATCAAGGCCATACATGGTGAGGAAGTCTCAGGCGAAACGCCTGGCCCGCCCTCAAAACTGGCCTCGGGGTGCGACAGGGAGAATTTAGGTATACAGAAAAGGCATGGATGAGGAGGAGGAGGAGGAGGAGGAGGAGGAGGGGGAGGGGGAGGGGGAGGAGGAGGGGGGGAGGGGGAGGTGGATGGGGTGGGGAGGGGAGGGCGAGGAGGAGGAGGAGGAGGAGGATAACACATACAGCTACCGTTTTCCCAACGACTTTATCTTTTTACCAGGCTAGCACCGGTACCTGGACATATGCAACAACGAGATGTTCATCCACAAGGACATACAGCATTGCCTACCGCACCCACCATTACGGCCCAATCCCCAGGCACCTCCATTATCGACCTTCGGGCTACCACCGACAGAGCCAAGCAAATACTTAACGCTCCAGAGCGCCATACCAGCAGACAACCACTTACCACCTGGCAAGCCCAAGCCAAAATAACACACACTTCTGAGTCGGAAGCGACCTGGTAGCCTTCGCAAACCACTACCGCTTTAATGAGGACTTCAGGCTAGCAGTAACTATTACTGACAGATGCTTCACCACACTGGTCTTAGGTCCTACAGCGAAGTGGACCGACCAAACCACGCAAGCACCACTCGCCGTTTCTCAATGGCTCACCTCCTGCCACAACTACGGTGACATCATGAGGTACGACTGGCCAGTACGCGTACACGACGCAACAAGGCTACAACATATTTGCAAGCCTACTTCGGGGTACAACCCAGACCACGTAAAAAGACACGCCCGACCGCTTCCACATCCACGCCAGCACCAGCGACTACGACACACCAGCCACAGGACCGCGTGCCAATTTCTCACAACCACACAGACGTCACCGACGCAACAACTCCACACGCACCAGGAAACACCAATACCAGACAGCTACCACTGGCGCGCATCATCAGAAGCCCCATGCATTCATCGCCACCTGACCTCAGGATTCCAATCGTTTGCCCGCCACCTGAGGACGCGAGAGCACAACTGTGGCTTCACGACATACCTACGGCAGATTTGGTTCCACAAACACATGCCACCAGACAGGTATATTTCCCACCCAAGGCGCCGCCAAGTACACTTTACAGCTAGACAAGGATCACACCACAGGTCAATACAGACCACCTGGGACGCGTATTTGTCCATTGCCGCAACGGCCAGCGCTTCCTAAACTACACCGCCACAGTTCGGCGACACCAGGCTCACTACCAACAGCACCTCGCTGAAGCACGTTCACGTGACCCTCATCACCGAAGACCCCACATCAACAAGCAGTTCATACAGTACATGCGCTGCTGGTCTTCAAGGCAGCGCCCTCACCTAGGCAGAACCAGATCCGCCTACAAAATAGACGAACCAGTACCTATCCACATATTGGCACGGTGGCAGAACCACGACTCCCACGACAGCCACCACATCTTCGTCGATTACTGCAGAAGGCCAATTACTGACTCCCTCACTCCTCATATTTTCAAAGGCTATACCTGGGCTCCTCCTGCTGTCGTGATCGTGTTCCCTCTTCTCCCTACCTGTCCTTTCTCACGCCTAGGGCGCCTGTCGCCCTACCAGGCCATAACTGAGGTTGTTGGAGCGCCTCCTCCCCGCCCAGGGGCCGCACCCCACTGGCTGCTGAGGACAGCAGTACATTCGCCCGCGGATGCACAGGACATCGCTTCTCTTTTCTCTCTCGGTGGTCTACCCCCCCCCCACTGGCTTCCCCGCCTCTCCCCCGTCGTTGCTGCTTGCTTCTGAGCCCGAAATGTACGTCTTCCCATTCTTTGCCGATGCCACACCTGTTCAGGTGATGATTCTCGGCTTCATTCTCTATCTATCTAACCTGCATTATCTCCAGTGGAGCGGATGTATCTAATCCAACAGTTACGCACGCGCTCCTTTGCTGCCAGCCATCCGTCACAGTCACAGGGACACATGAGACCAGCTGCCTCTCCTCTCATTTCTTTCGCATGCATCTGTTCGCCCAGTCTCATACGCTCATCTGCTGACATCTAGCCAGCTGTTGCTCACGCGCCGCCCCAGCTACTCCAGTTTTTCTCTGCTTCCTGTTCCTGGCCTGGCTGTGCCGGCCCAACAGGATAGACTTGTGGATATTGAGGTTGGTGGCATTTTGTAGTTGGGGGGGAGGTCGGCGGGGCTATCTGCTGCAGTATTTCAATAAGCATGTCAGCCTACTTTCAGGTGATTGTGTCAGGCACTTCGCTTCCTCGCAAGCACATCCGCCTACTCCAGTTTCCTTTCAGCATCCAGCCACGCTCACACATTTGTTGTTCAGTAACTATTTCTTGCGTTTCGTCATGGCATTTTTAGCTCTGTTCAGTCTGCTTTGCCATGTACGGCTTACCTTCTGCCTTGCACTCAAGCGTGACATG